AGAACAATATGCACCGGTGAGGGAGATCACCAAGAATTAGAAAAAAACATATGCACCTGTGAGGGGGGATCAACAAGAATCATTCTTCAGAAGTGGAAACAACAACAACAGCAGCAACAACAACAACAGCAGCAGCAGCAGCGCAGCAACAACAACAACAACAACAACAACAACAGCAGCAGCAGCAGCAGCAGCAACAGCAACAACAACAACAATTACAACAACAGCAGCAGCAACAACAACAACAGCAGCAACAACAACAAAAACAAAAAAAACAACAACAACAACAATCACAACCACAACCACAACAACACACGACAACAACAACAACAACAACAACAACAACAACAACAACAACAACAACAACAACAACAACAACAACCAACAACCACAACAACAGCAACAAGAACAACAACAACAACACCAACGACAACAACAGCAACAACAACAACAACCACAACAACAACAACGACAACAACAACATCAACAACAACAACAATAACAACAATAATAATAAGTTTAAGACCGTTCGCCCTTATATGCTCGAGTGTCCAATAACGCGTACTTCCCAAGCCCTCGATACCCGCCCTCTTCGTCTTCGATCGAACCCCTTTTGGTGGGTTATGCCTTTCTTTCCTGCAGGCGGGGCCCCGGGCCGCGGACCCTCGGCCTGGCCAGCGGCAGCGCTGATCGGCGGGGCGGCCGCGGACCGTCGACCCGACCCCAAGAGGGACGGAGGGGACCGACCACGACGACGACGACGACGACGACGACGACGACGACGACGACGACAACGACGACGACGTCGAAGACGACGGCGACGACGACGACGACGACGACGACGGCGACGAGCGAAAGAGAGAGCGAGAGAGAACGACAGCAGGGCCACGAAGGGCACGAAGTAGGCCACGAAGGGCGACAGCGGGGACACGAAGGGAATGCGTATGGGGCCACGAAGAGCGCGAACGAGCGGGGGTCACGAAGTGCAGATAATGCGGGGCCACAGAAAGCAACTATGGGCCCACTGAGGGTAGCAACTGGGCCACGTAGGACAGTGAGGGGGACACAAATGGCGACAGCGGGGCCACGAAGGGCATGCACATGGGGCCACAACGGGAGCGACTCCTGGGTGCCTGGGTGTCGGGAGCGCGGCGCTTGGGTAAATTGAAAGAAATTCCAACGCAAGGCCATTCTTCAGTAAGCCGCAAGCAAGGCTCCAGCCAGAGCGCGACCCCAGAGCGCCGGGAGAGCGATTCCTGAATAAATTGGAAGGAAGTTCCAAACGAGAGCGCGATTCTTGAATAAAATGCGAGGAAAATTCGGGCGGGAGATGGGGTCCTGCTTAAATTGTACGGATGCCTCAAGCGGGAGCCGTTGTTGTTGCAACCCGGGGCCAGGGGCCCAGTTTGAGCATCAAGACTTTCCTGCAAAAACAGACTGCCAGCGTCGAGGGGCACACTTTGATGGAGAAAAATAATGTACACAGGTGGGGGGGGATCAACAACAATAATTTTTTAGAAATGGAAAGCTCAACAACAATAACAACAACAACAATAATAATAGCAACATTCATGTTAAGACTGTTCGCCCTTATCTGCACAAGTGTCCAATAACGCCTATTTCCCAAACCCTCGATACCCGCCCTCTTCGTCTTCGATCGAACCCCTTTTGGGGGGTATACCTTTCTGCCCTGCAGGCCGGGCCCCGGCAAGCGGCGGGGCGGCCGCGGACCGTCGGCCTGGCCAGCGGCAACGCTGATCGGCGGGGCGGCCGCGGACCGTCGACCCGACCCCAAGAGGGACGGAGGGGACCGACCACGACGACGACGACGACGACGACGTCGACTACGACGGCGACGACGACGACGACGTCGACGATGATGGCGACAAGCGAAAACGAGAGCGAAAGAGAACGACAGCAAGGCCATGAGGACACGAAGTAGGCCACGAAAGGCAACAGCGGGGGCACGAAGGGAATGCGTATGGGGCCACGAAGAACGCGAACGAGCGGGGGCCACGAAGGGCAGATAATGCGGGGCCAACGATGGGGCCACTGAAAGCGCGAACGAGCGGGGGCCACGAAGGGCAGACATATATGGGGCCACGAAGGGCAGCAAGGGGGCCACGAAGGGATACAACAGGGCCACGAAACAAAGCGAGGGGGACACGAAGGGCTGCAACGGGGAGACGACGGGCTGCGACGGGGCCACGAAGGGCAGCGAGGGGGCCACGAAGGGCTGCAACGGGGCCACGAAACAAAGCGAGGGAGCCACGAAGGGCTGCAACGGGGCCACGAAGGGCAGCGAGGAGGGCACGAGGGGCTGCAACGGGGCCACGAAGGGCAGCGAGGGGGCCACGAAACAAAGCGAGGGGGCCACGAAGGGCTGCAACGGGGCCATGAAGAGCAGCGAGATCCCGATTCCTATGTAATCTGTGAGGGAGTCCTAATCGTGAGCGCGACTCCTGCGTGCCTGGGTGTCGGGAGCGCGGCGCTTGAGTAAATTGCAAGAAGTTCCAACGCAAGGGCGCTATTCTTCATGACATTGCAAGCAGGTCTCCAGCGAGAGTGCGACTCCAGAGCGCCCGGATAATAAATTCGATGGAAGTCCCAAGCGAGAGCGCGATTCCTGAATAAAGTGCGAGGAAGTCTCGGGCGGGAACGGGGGTCATGGCTAAATTGTGAGGAAGTCTCAGGCGGGAGCCGCTGCTGTTGTAAACAGGGGGCCAACGACACAGTCTGACCCTCAAGACTTTCCCTGATAAAAAAAGGTACGAGCCCCAGGAAGCGCACTTCAATCGAAAAAATGTGCACCGGACGGGGGGAATCAACAATACATATTTTTCAGAAATGGAAAGTTCAACAACAACAACAACAACAACAACAACAACAACAACAACAACAACAACAGCAACAGCAACAGCAACAGCAACAGCAACAACAACAACAACAGCAACAACAGCAACAATCATTTTAAGACTGTTCGCCCTTATATGCTCGAGTGCCCAATAACGCCTATTTCCCAAACCCTCGATACCCGCCCTCTTCGTCTTCGATCGAACCCCTTTTTGGGGGTATACCTTTCTGCCCTGCAGGCCGGGCCCCGGCAATCGGCGGGGCGGCCGCGGACCGTCGGCCTGGCCAGCGGCAACGCTGATCGGCGGGGCGGCCGCGGACCGTCGACCCGACCCCAAGAGGAACGGACAGGGGACCGACACGACGACGACGACGACGACGACGACGACGACGACGTCGAAGACGACGGACGACGACGGCGACGACGAGCGAAAGCGAGAGCGAGAGAGAACCTCAGCAGGGCCACGAAGGGCACGAAGTAGGCCACGAAGGGCGACAGCGGGGACACGAAGGGAATGCGTATGGGGCCACGAAGAGCGCGAACGAGCGGGGGCCACGAAGTGCAGATAATGCAGGGCCACAGAAGGCAACTATGGGGCCACTGAGGGTAGCAACTGGGCCACGTAGGACAATGAGGGGGACACAAATGGCGACAGCGGGGCCACGAAGGGCATGCACATGGGGCCACAACGGGCGCGACTCCTGGGTGCCTGGGTGTCGGGAGCGCGGCGCTTGGGCAAATTGCAAGAAATTCCAACGCAAGGCCATTCTTCAGTAAGTCGCAAGCAAGTCTCCAGCGAGAGCGCGACTCCAGAGCTCCGGGAGAGCGATTCCTGAATAAATTATAAGGAAGTCCCAAGCGAGAGCGCGATTCCTGAATAAAGTGCGAGGAAGTCTCGGGCGGGAGCGGGGGTCCTGCTTAAATTGAAAGGAAGTCTCAAGCGGGAGCCGTTGTTGTTGTAACCCGGGGGCCTGGGGCCGGTTTGAGCAGGAAGATTTCCCTGTCAAAAAAACAAGGTGCGAGCGTCGAGGGGCACACTTTGATTGAGAAAAAACAGTATGCACCGAATTACTCTTCAGAATGAGAATTCAACAACAACAACAAAAACAACAACAACAACAACAACAACAACAACAACAACAACAACAACAACAACAACAACAACAACCACAACCACAACCACAACCACAATCACAACCACAACCACAACCACAACCACAACCACAACCACAACAACAACAACAACAACAACAACAACAACAACAACAACAACAACCAACAACACCAACAACAACAACAACAACAACAACAACAACAACAACAACAACAACAACAACAACAACAACAACAACAACAACAACAACAACAACGCAGTTCCCGTGCGCGCCCCCCTCCTGCTCCGCGTGATCCCCAGCGGCCGAGCACGCCACCGAAGATCACCGAAGATGAGGGGGAAAGAGAGGGGAGGGCCTGCTAACGGGGGGGGGGGGCAACGACATGAAGTCGGCGATACATCGCGGATCGATCGTCAATGTGGCCCCGGTAGCGAATCCGCACGTTCCTGGGCGGGGTGGGCTGTTGTATCAGGCCCCTATCGGCGATAAATCGGCGGGTGTTGACCAGGGACCGACCGTCCCGGCATTCCTCTAGGCCTACCACGGCATGTTCTTAGAACCCACAAATGTTATCGTAACAAAACAATTGTCTTAGAACAAAAAACCGATGTGGTACAACAGAGCCGTCCCAGCCAGAAATGTTCTAAGCACATTCCGTGGAAATCACAAAAGGTTCTTAGAACATTGTTTGGTAAGCCTGAAGGCGAGCCGGGGCGCCTCGCCACTGCTTGAGAGTGGGGGTCGGTGCGTCCACCATCCCGAGCCACCCCATCTGACAATACCTTCAAAAAGATCGGGCCGGGCGAAGGGGGGGATAGCAAAGGGGGGGGGTGAGAATCAGCTCACGTAGCTAACTTTCCCGGCGCCTCCCGGCGCGGGGAGGCGCCCATGTATCGAGGCATGGGCCCCTCGGTGGGGCCGAAACCAGCTGCATGCAGCAGATTTCGTAACCCCCCTTTCCCCCCCTTTCGTCCGGCCCGAAAAGAGGCAAGCCGTAGAGACCCCCGTTGCACTGCTGCCCGCCGGCCCGCCTGGTGCACAGCAGCCGCCAGCACGCCAGGGCCGCCGCCGCAGCCGCGCCTCGGCGGGGACGCGGGGACGAGACGGACGGGCGCCGAGAGGAGAGGATCAGAGTTGGGCCGAGAAAGCTCCTGGAGCCCGCGTCACGCGACGAGTGCTCGACGGCTTGAGGCTCCCACCGACGGCGCTCCGGGGACGGCCTGCGCAGCTGGCAGGCACGGCCGTGGACTCGGCCGAAGTGGCGGTCTCACGCGGCGCGGCACGGCGACCTTCGGCGGCGGCTCGCGGGGGCCTCCAGCGTTGCACCCCCTCTGGGGACGGGCGGCGCTCGTGCGCGGCCCTGCTGCGCGGGCAGCCCGCGCGCGGGCATCGGGGCGACCTTCTCTCTGGCCGTATCGCCGCCCAAAGTGGGACGGCGACCTGCAGCCGCGTTCGACTGGAGAGGATACGCGAGATGACACAAGACCCTTCCGAGGGCCACACTGCTATCGGAATTCGAGAGGGAGATCGACCATATAGTTGCTTTACCCCACACTTGGCTTGCCCGATGTACAAACGTAAACATAGAATGCTCCGTAGACCGACGGCGCATCACTCATGCGTTTCGTACATTCGACAAACAAGAACTGTGGGATCCATCTATAACCACTCGAGGAATGTAGAAGGCACGCGCCAATTAACACAGTAAACAAGGGTACTCTTGAGTTGGCAGGGTCGGCCTACTAATCCGACTCGACCGTACACCTGTTCCTGCTGGCTCTGGACAAGACCCGCGGCCAGCTTCGGGGCGAACCGCGGGCCCTGACAGAGGCAAATGGCGCTCGGCCGACAATGGCCGCTGCCCATGTGACGCAACAGCTGCTGTTCGGCGTCATGCCCATGAGTAGGGGAACGAACAATGACAGGGGGGTCCAGCGCCGATCCGAGAAATCCGCGCGGACCTCTGAGTTCTCATGTGTACGTCATTGTTCGTTTCCCTAACAACTGCTGTTCGGCGTCATCCCCAGTAGTGCTGCCATCATGTGGGACGCAATCTGGGCAAGGGGGCAAGGGTTTGCTGCGGAAAACGGGCCCTGCCCAAGTTGCTGAACGCCCTGGGGCCCAGGAGGTGCCCAAGGAAAACCCGAAAGCGGCGGGAAAAAATAAGGGTCGCCCATGGAGCTGATGGAAGTCTGAGATCGCGTGTAAAAGAAAGCCACCCACCCCACATTGATGGGCCCATGTTCCACCACCACTACCATATGCAGGAGAGGGAGGAGGAGGAGAGGGATGAGGAGGAGGAGGAGGAGGAGGAAGAGGAGAAGGAAGAGGACCTCCTCATCCTCCCGTCTCCACCGATCTACACAAGGTAGTGATGGTGGAAGATTTGCACACCACACATGGTGCTGCCGAGTCTACGATAAGCCTTCGGCGCTCGAAGATTCGAGCCTTCGACGTGTATCGGCCCTTCGAGCTCCGGTATCCTCGACACTATGGGCCCCGAGGGATCTTCGAAACCAGAGGCCTAAACTGTATGATGACAAAGCTACGACCGCCCTGGGCCCCATCCTGCGGCATTCCTCGAGCCGGATCTGTCCGCGAGGGCCCCAGGGTTAAGTCGGGCGTGTCCCCCACAGGGGCATTTTCGAAGAAAAATAAAAAATACCACAAAAATACTCCTAAATTATCACGCACAACAAAAAATGCTCAAAAATGGTCCCCAGACTATTTTTTCTATTTTTGAATATTCCTCCTGTAGAGGGACAGGCCCGACTTAACCCCAGGGCCCAGAGGCCAGGCGACGAAGACGCCGACCGCGAGACAGAAACGCGACGCCAGGATTTCAGGGGCTCTCGAATCCCAAGTCTCCGACGCCCTCCGGGACTTCTCCTCCCCCTCCTCCTCCTCCCCCCTCCTCCTCCTCCTCCTCCTCCTCCTCCTCCTCCTCCTCCTCCTCCTCCCCCCCCTCCTCTCCCTCCTCCTCCTCCTCCTCCTCCTCCTCCTCCTCCGCCTCCTCCTCCTCCTCCTCCTCCTCCTCCTCCTCCTCCTCCTCCTCCTCGAGTCTTCGATCCCAGGCGAAGCCTCGCGCCAGCGCCGTACCCGGCTGGCGGCCCGGCGGCACGAGGCAGGCGACTCCCGCGGCGGCGAGGGCGAGGGAGGTCCCCGCGAGCAGCGCCGCGAGCAGCGCGGCGGCCCAGCCGAACACCCTGTCGGGCCCAAAGCGGACGCTGAGGGAGCGGATGTTCGCGGACCTGCGGAGAGACTGACTACCTACCAGACCACCCCAACCCAACCCGAACACCCGAATTTCGGGTTGGAGGGGTACGGGTTCTATGTGTTTTTGATGTTCCCCGACCTTCCCCCAATGGAAATGGAAGGCAAACTGAGGCCTTCGGGTTGGGTTGGGGTGGTTTGGTAGGTAATGAGGGGACGGGAGGAGGATGCATTCGAAGAAGAAGAAGAAGAAGAAGAAGAATCTTGGATCTGCGCTGGACCCCCCTCCCTGGCGCGCGGAGCGCGCCAGGGGTGGCGCCGGAGGCGCCGCCAGGGGGGGGCCCGGCGCGGATCCAAGACGTTTTTTCCCCCTCGAATGCAGGAGGGGAGGAGGGAGGAAGGGCGGGGGGCCGACGGATGGAGGAGATTGGCCAGATGCAACTTCAAGGGCCCCACCCCGTGCTGCCTGAGAGCCGAGGGAGAAACGCGGAGGCCCCCCGCGCGGCCGCACCCGCCTGCGCGGGCGCGGCCCCCATCAGTGCACGAGGCAACAACTTCGGCAACGGACTTGCGCGCGCCGACGAGCGCCACGATTCGGCGGCGAGCGAGGGAGGGGGGAAGCGAGAAGGAGAAGGCCTTCTCAGAATGCGGCGGGAAGTCTCAGGAGCCCTCGCGCCTTCTGGAGAGTTGTCTGTGTCTTCGGGGAGGGATTTTAAAACACGTCCAAGAAGGCAAGGGTTAGGTCGGGCATGCCCCCCTACAGGTGGATTCCGGAAGAAAAATAAAAAACATTCAAACATAGACAAAAACCATCAAAAATAATCGAAACATCGGCCCCAGACTATGTTTGAAGGCAACGGGACTTTCGAGCCTTCTGGAAGGCCTTTTCCTTCTCACTTCCCCCCCCCCCGCTCGCCGCCGAACGACGTGCATCGGGCGCGGGGCACCGCCCCTCCCCCCCCCCCGTCGTGCTGGAGGAGGTGCCGCCCTCCTCGTCGCTCGCGGCCTCGGGCGCGATGCGCTGGCCGCGGAGCGAGAACGTCCCTCCAGACCCCGCGTCGGAGGAGGCCGAATGCGCGCTCGGGCGCGAAGCCTCCGTCGACAGCCTGGCCGACCAGGGCATGCCTTCTCGCAACGACAGGGGGCAAAAATGGCATTCAGACGCAAGCTTTCGAAGCTCCGCGCGGGCGCCCGCACGGCCGCCCGCCCGCACTGGCGACGCCACCATTCCAGGTCGACGACAGCTGCTCGAAGCAGCCCCCCCACCGCCCCACGAGGCGCGGCGAACTTCCTCACCAGTGGCCAGCGGCCAGGCGGCTTGGCCGCGAGCGCCGCCAGCAGCGCGCCCCGCGCGCCGCCTCGGCGGCAGCCCAGGGGGGCCCAGTGAGGGGAGCCATCGCTAGATCGGGCATGTCCCCCCACAGGCCGATGTTCAAGGAAACATAAAAAAAGTCAAACAACACCCCAAAATGGTCACAACAATTATCAAAAAACCGTCCCCTGACTAATTTTGACTATTTCTGAATTTAGGGACAGGCCCGACTTGGGGCCGTCGCCGTGCGCCCGCGTCGTCCACCGGCCGCCGGGGGCCGCTGGCGGGCAGGCCTGCGCGGGCGCACGGCCGAGTCGGGCGCGCGGCAAAGCCTGCGCCGACACCGCAGATGCCGACCGCTCGGGCGGGCGGGCCGCCCAGGGCCGCGCGGTGCAGCACCCCTCCGCGCGGAGGGGCGCGCCGCGGCGGCAGCTGTCAGCGCCAGCAGTCGGGGAAGAGCAGGCGGGCGGGCCGAGCGTGAGCCGAGGTGGCTGACGGCGACCGATGGGAGGAGGGGAGGCAGGTGGGCGGGGAGGAGGTGGGAGAACTGGGTCAGAAAACAACTCCTGCGAGTCTTCGTCAGCCCGATCAAGGGCTGAACGTGATGAAAAGGCCCATTAAGCTGGGCAATGAGCCTGGGGGCCAATCGGAATTAAGCCAGAGAAAGCGGAACTATGCCAGATTGAGCTAGTTTTTCGATCACGGATACACCAACCACGATGCTGACTTGAAGTTGAACCCGTAAGTTGAGTGTCAAAAAACAAACACGTGCGGTGACACACGGCGTGGTGACCTCGAAAGTTGTATTTTCCCGGGGCCCAGCGAGGCCCGCATGAGGCAGAAATGGAGTAACGCCTCTGACTTGCTCTTTAAAAATATGGTTTAACGCGCTGGCCATCTGAGGAGGGAGGGACTAGACGCCTCCAAATGGGGTCCGAGCACCAGGAGATCGGAGGATCGCGCCACACCACCGATACATCGCCGATGCATCGGGGATGCATCGGCGACGTCGGCGACGTATCGGCGTCGTCGGTTGGGAAAACCAGTCTCCACGCTCCACATCGAGCCGCATCGCTGACGCATCGGCGACGCAGCGCGATCCGCCGACCCCTTCTACTCGGACCCAACGTGTGAGGCCTGGAGGGCAGGAAGGCGGAGGTGGAAGAGGGAGGAGCAGAACGACGGAGGCGGGGAGGAAAGACAGGCGGGCGGCCGCGATGCCCGCGGGCCTGTCCCCAAGGACGTCCGGGACGTCCTGATGGGGGTTAAGCGCCCCTTCCCCGCCGACAGTGCCCGCTCTTGCAACGACCACGGCTCCGCCGCCGACGACGACGACGGCGACAACGTCGACGACGGCGACGTCGACGACGACGGCGACGTCGACGACGACGACGACGACGACGACGACGACGACGACGACGACGGCGACGGCGACGGCGACTGCGACGGCGACGGCGACTGCGACGGCGACGGCGACGGCGACGGCGACGGCGACGGCGACGGCGCCGGCGCCGGCGCCGGCGCCGCCGCCGCCGCCGCCGCGACGACGACGACGACGGCGACGACCACGACGGCGGCGGCGACGACGGCGATCCCGACTCAAACGGCGACGCCGCGACGTCGACGACGGCGACGACCACAACGGCGGCGGCGACGACGGCACGACGCTTGGCGATCTCGCGCTGCTGGCGAATTGCCTCTCTCGACGCTCCCCGGACCCCTGTGCGGCCCTGGGCTGGGCGCGCATTCGCGCGAGCGCGCCGTGCCCTTGGGCATCCCTCTCCGCATCCTCAAGGCGTCTCGGGGAGACAGCATCCAGCGTGGACCCCACAGAATGGAGTTGCACTGTGGAGGTCGAAGATGTGTTGTGCAGACTGTGTGGCGAAGGTACGTTGCGTCAGCCTTTTTACAGTGCGAGCTATGCGGCGCAAGCTACGCTTCGCAAGCTATGTGATGTGGGTTGTGTGGCATACGTTATAGGGTGTAAGCTGTGCGGTGTGAGCTATAAGACGTGAGCTGTGCTGTGCAACATGTATGGTGCAAGCGATGTTGTGTAGGCTCCGTGCTGTGAGATATACGATGTCAGCGATGTTTCAAACCCACGTGCGAGCTGCATGTTGAAAGCTGAGCAGTGAAAGCTGTGCTGTGCAAGCTCTGCTGCATGAGCTCGTGGTGGGACCCATGCGTTGCAATGAGCGTTTTGTTCCGCACGGAACACACACACCCACACACACACACACACACACACACACACATATATATATATATATATATATATATCGAATGCGAGAGGGCGCACGGCCCGCAGGCCCCCGCGGGAGCCCACCGAGCCAGCCCCCCCCCCAGCTGGGCCCGCAACGAGCAGCGGCCACCTGCGCGGTGGACGCGCCGCTGTGCCACACACACACACACACACACACACACACACACACACACACACACGCCGTGCACGCTCTCGCGGGGCGCCCACGGGGCGCCCCCGGGCGGGCACGGGCGCCGACGCGGCAGGACCTCGGGAAGCCCGCCCCGCGCACGAGGGGCACCGCGTGGCGCCGCGACGGCGCGGGCGCCACCGTGGTGGCAAGCCAAGGCAAGGGGAAGCCCAATGCGGCTGCTGGAGGAAGCCAGGCAGGAGGCCCTCAGGGCGATCCGGTGATCCGTCTGAGGAGTCAGCATGCGGCTGGCGCTTCGCCTGCCTTGTGCATCGTCTGTCGCCAAAGGGAGGCCGTCCCTACCCCCCCCCCCCCCGACCTCCACGCGCCCTGGGATCAACAAGGGCGCCTAATTTCGCGCCGCTTCGCGCGGCGCGAAGCGCGAATAACTTCGCAATATTTCGCCGCCCCCCAATGGAGAATAGGAGGATGAAGAGGAAGCGGAGCCGAACCGCGAAGCGCGAAGCGCAAATAACTTCGCGCCCTCGATGGCGCCCTCGGACTCACGAGACGCAACAAGAACGGCGGCCCCGCTCGCACTCCTCGCCATCGCTCGGACGTCCTTGCCCAGTGCATGTTCCGGTGTCGTGCGTTTATTTGTTCAGCTCCTCGACGGCCCTTGCCGAAAACACACACACACACACACACACGCGTCCGAGCGATGCCAAGGATGAGGGATGCCATGACGGCAGAGGCCCGGGCCTGCTGCCGAGGGCTGCCTGCTGTCCCCGCCGCCTCTGCCGCGCATCCGCCTCTCCCGCCGCGCCGCGGCTGGCCTCCTGACTGCCCTCATGCCCACCCGCCCTGGGGTCTCCTCCCGGGCTCCCTCCGTAGGAAGGCACCAACTATACACCAACACCGATCCTGGCCAGGATCACCCTGGGCCCAGGATCGGTGTATACGCCCTCCTGCCTTGCGCAAGCAGGCATCTACACCGATCCTGGGCCCAGGGTGATCCTGGGCCAGGATCGGTGTTGGTGTATAGTTGGTGCCCTCCGACTCCGCCCTCCTCCCCCCATTCCCCTCCGCCGAGCTCCTGCCGTCTGACTCCTCCCCCTTCCCGCCTGCCTCCTCCTCCTCCGCCTTGCTCCTCCGTTCTCGCTTCCCCCTCCCTTCTTGTGACTGGGTTGCGAGGACGTGGCAAAAAGCCAAGCCTCACCCTGCGGCCCGAACACAAAACGTGAAGTCTAGAGATATGTCTGCACGAACAGGTATCTCATCGACCTGTACCACCAAACGAGATGGTCTGCTTCGAAGGGACCTATCCACGTAAAGAAATCGAACATAACTTCCTGCGGGCACCTGGCTTGTCTTCAGCAAAAGCCGACAAGCGATCTGATCGCAGAGTAGAGCCGTGATAGAGCTGGCCGTGGACAAACCTCCAGACCAACCAGCCCAAACAACACGCTGCGAGCGACAAGACCGCGGAAGGGCGGCAACCTCGTGGACGCGCTCCCCAAGCAGCATCCAGAGGCACCGGCACGTGGAGCGCACCACCCTGGCTCGTGAAATCCGCCAAGGAGGACCGTACACCAGAACCTCATGTGGCGAAGTCAAACGACAACGTGTTCGGGGGCGGCCCAGAGGGGGGCGTCCAAGAGGCGGGGGCGCAAATCATGGCCAGCGGCATGTGCGCGGCTCAGAGGGGGGCCAGGGACGTAATGCAATAAGAAGAGGCGCCATGAAGTCTGGAGACCACGCCATGATATCCAACCCCCCCCTAGTCATCCCCACCCTCTTTGCCGCCCCCGACATGTCATCCAACTCGACTCCCGAAGACGGGCGTTTGCCTTGTGACACCACGTCGGCCACGCCGGGATCCCAAACTCCAAATTCGTGCGGAAAGGTAGGACAAACCGATCCTTCTGGCACGAATGCACTCCACTCGCAATGCACACCTACGCTCATCGCTGGGCGCGGCGTGTCAAAGTAAGCCTCAAAAAACGTGAGGAATAGCAATTCCGACATTCTGCCGAAAACCATCTGTCCTCCTTGAGCTTGCGCAATGACGCTGGTACTCGAAGACTCTGTAGCAGCCGTCCCAAACAGCAAATTGCAGAGAATATTGGCTCGACATTGGCCGCACAACAGTCGCTAAATCTGATCGCCATATTCTCTGCCACAGAAATTCCATCCCTGTGGCTAGTCAAATATACGTCAGTGGTCCCACCACGTTCTCGCAGGTACACTCCCAAAAAAGAGTCAACTGGCCACACGTCTGCAGAAACACCCTATTCTAGCAGTAGAAATGAGCGGATCGCAATCACCAATTGCAAAACCGCCAGTCGGCTCCCAGGCGCAGTGACACAGTTTTTTTTTTTGTTAGCCTGCTGATTGCCCCACAGCGAGCCTTGCGACAGTGAACTTTGTCCAGGCGGTCTGCAGTGCGCGGTGGCGCCTGCAGTGGCAGTGACACAGTGATGTCTGAATCATTCTGCGCTTGCTGGTTTCAAGCATGGGGGCATGCAAGACATCATCGAACATCGGAGCAAATCCTCGCGAGAAAATTACTAATCGGAACCCGAATGTGACAACATACATGTAGCAATAATCCCGTCATATGGCCCACATGCTTACTGACCGTAAGCCCGTGAACGAAGACCGCCATGGAATGGAATCCTGTACGCACGTAATGACGAATAGATCGAAGGTACCGTCTTTGCAATCACACGATGCTTGAACTCATTGTAGATAGCCAACGCGGTTCTGCAACAATTGACGCGCTTTGAGAGTAACGTCACGACCTTCTGGGAATAGGCATACAGCAGAACCCTCCCCGGCCAGGAGACATGTTCAAAAACTCAACCAACATATCACACTTGAGTCCGTTAAAATGTCTGGGTGTGTGTGTGCTAGCTGGCCAAACAATTTGACTGACAAAACTTGCGTTCTCTAGTATGTGTGCTGTCCGAGTGGGCCAGATCGGCACAGGAGTCGAAGTCAAATCGGATCGGCTGCTCCAGGGTGCACACCAGCGCCATGCAAGCATCGAGCCGCATCGGATCGTCAGAACACACATGTCAGACAGGGTCGGAACGATATCGATATCGAATCTGGTCGAAATGGGCTCTGACCTTGTGGCCGCGAACATCCACTGAGACGCAGATAGGCATGCTAGCACTATGTGTGCTTATGTTGGTGACGCAAGTCCGACCCGAAGCATGTAGCACAAACATGTTACAGCGCATTGGTGCCCAAACGGTACCACGGTGCTTGTACTATGAGGTTTGCGCGCGCTTTGCCCCTGCTGGCTGACGCGCACTCATACTAGAAATCTGGCGTGGACTCATCCAGCTCAGCGCGAATCCAGCTCGACCAATGAAGGAAAACAGCGCGCGCTCTGGCTGAGCCCCAGTCGCGCTGAGCCCCAGAGACATATACTAGAACTGTGTGCTGATGTTGGAGGCGCAGGTCAGGCACGAACATCCAGTACACGAGTCTTGGCCAGGCGGCACAAGCGGCATGGCCAGACAAGCGCCCGCAACGGAGCGCACACTAGAAGATCCCTGAGCGCACGCATCGCCGTTGCACGACGCACGCACAGCACACGGCAGGTTCGTGTCGTGTCGACCCTGGCGCTGGTCCCTGACACCGCGGGCAACTGTTCAACCTTGAGCGATCGGCCGTTTCCGAAGCGTCAGATCGTTCAGCATCCACCGATTCTGGGCCGCCGCCGGCGTTCAAGGCTGAACGCCGGCGGCGGGGTCGCCGCCAGTCGACACGACGCGAACCTGCCGTGCGTGCGTATGGGTGGTGCCAGCACCTGCCAACTCATCTGAGCATGCCTGGGTCAGGGCTGGACCTAAACGTTGTTTTTCGTTTTGCTTTCGTTCTGCTTTTCGGTGTGCTCTCTCCCTCTCCCTCTCTCTCTCTCTCTCTCTCTCTGTGTGTTTTCCTGCACCTCCCCCTCATAACGAAAAACAAAACACACAGCCGAGATCCAGCAAAACAGCGCTTAGGTCCAGCCCTGGCCCGGGTGACGCCAGCCCACTGGCCCGTGCCGTCCGCAACACCGCCGCGTGCGCGCAGGGCGCCCCTGCTCAGGGCGCGCTGCCGCAGGGCGCCGGCCTGGCGCGGAGAGCGCAGGGCTCCGAGGCTCCCGTGCGGCACCATTCGCATGCGCACCGGCAGGCGTGGCCTGTGCGCGACGGGAGCTCCAGGCGTACCCCGCGCTGGCAGGACACCGCGCGTTGCGGCGGGCCTGCGCCGGCTGGCCTGTTCAAGAACCACTGGGTGCGAGGCCTGCGCCGGCTGGCCTTCCCAAGGTGCACTTTTCGGGCCCTGCAAGGCCCCCTTTCGGGCCCCGAGGGGCTCCTCTAGGGGCCCTACAGCAACCACTTTTCGGCTACCACGCAGCGCCCGACTGTGTTGAAGAGGTTGATTGTCGGGTTGCTTGCTCTTGCGTCGTACCCTTGCTATGCCGAGCGACGCCAAGCAATGCCACACGACGACTAGCAATGAGAAGCGATGCCAGGCGACGCCAAGTAATGCAAAGCGGTGCACGGCCATGCAGCGCCAAGCAGAGAGATACAATGCCAAGCAATACCAAGCAATGCCGCTTAGGAAACGTTCCCCTTATTGGGGTCGCGCTGGGTTCATCCAGTTCGTCTTGGTGGCAACTTCCACCCGCTTGGCAGCACGCGCCGTCGATGCGGAGGCGCTACGGCATCCCCTGAGCCATCTTGGACATCCTGTCATCCGTACTCCCTGTAGGATTTTGTCGGCGCCCATCCAGCCGGGCAAAATGCAAGTGATTACCTACCAGACCACCACAACCCAACCCGAAGACCCGAATTTGACCCGAATTTCGGGTTGGGGGGGGTACGGATTCCATGTGTTTGTTCAACGTTCCCTGACCCCCCCCACTGGAAATGGAGGGCAAATTGAAGGCTTCGGGTTGGGTTGGGGTGGTTTGGTGGGTGGTGAGTAAGGTGCCAAGTGACGAGGCAGCACACAGCCGGCAGGACACTGCAGGTCCACAGCGCTGGCCGATGCGTGCCACCACACCGCGTCAGCGAGCCATGAAATGCAAATGCCGCTCAAACATACCGTGAATCGTGGCTCTCGCCTCCCCCCTCACCGCACCCCCCCTCCGATCGCATCCCTGCCCCGTCCCGCTCCCGCATCCCATCCCTCCCTCCGCCTTTCCGCCCGTCCAGGTGGGTCGGAGAAGGCGCCACTCTTGGACCCATTCGGTCCTTCATCAACGCGATGACAAGACCGAAGATGGCGAAGAACGCCCCAGCAACCAGGCTCCGCCTGTCCAAGGCCACGCCTGGGCACACGAACCCACAACCACCTCGTCCTCCTCCTCCTACCGCATCCTTCCGCCTGTTCAGCATCATCATCATCATCATCATCATCATCATCATCATCATCATCATCATCATCATCATCATCATCATCATCATCATCATCATCATCATCATCATCATCATCATCATCATCATCATCATCATCATCATCATCATCATCATCATCATCATCATCATCATCATCATCATCATCATCATCATCATCATCATCATCATCATCATCATCATCATCATCATCCGCCCCGTCCTGTTTCTTCCTCCCCCACATCTTCATATTCCTCATCCAGCTCCTCGTATGTCCTTTCTTAGTCCACCCTCCGTCCGCTCACCCTGTCCCCTATCCTGCTACTTCCCCTCCACCTACACATCAATCATCCGTCCACCATTATACCTCCTGCCCCGCAGCACCGCTAAACAGCCTGCAGAGTGAGTCCGTCCCCTTTTGTGCATTTCAGCTTCGGCTTCGGCTTCTGCTGTGAGGCAACTTGAAGTGTGCTCGGGCCAGCTCACCCCAATAGTTTTTCCCGCTCGCACGGGTGCCTCCCTTTTCCCTCTGCCCCTCCTACTTCCTCCTCATCCTCCTCCTCCCTCCTCTTCCTCCTCAGCATCATCATCCTCATCCTCCTCCTCTTACTCCTCCTCTTCTCCTCCTCCTCCTCCTCCTCCTCCTCCACCTCCTCCTCCTCCTCCTCCTCCTCCTCCTCCTCCTCCTCCTCCTCCTCCTCCTCCTCCTCCTCCTCCTCCTCCTCCTCCTCCTCCTCCTCCCTCCTCCTCCTCCTCCCCTCCTCCCCTCCTGATCCTTCGCCTCCTCCTCCTCCTCCCCCCGCTCCTCCCCTCCCATCCTCCTCCTCCTCCTCCTCCTCCTCCTCCTCCTCCTCCTCCTCCTCCGCCTCCTCCTCCTCCCACTCCTTCTCCTCGTCCCCCTCCCCATGGGGGCTCAAAATGGTCCGATGAGTCGAAGGCGATTCGGAGTGAACGGACAGTTTCGGGACTTGGGCAATTATACGAGGATGCCTCGGCCGCCTGGGGCGTCTAAAATCTGCAAACCCTTGGTAACTACACCCGGGTGCAGACCGTCGGGTCAGGTCTGTTAAATTTCTAGGTGGCAGAAAACATGTCCCCAGACAGTTGAGACCTCTATGCCTATACCTAATAATTATCAGCATCGTCATCAGCATCCTTGTCGTCATCATGACTGACATCCTCATCCTCATCCTCACCGATGACCATCATCATCAGCAGCAGCAACAGCAAAAGCATCAGCAGCATTAAACATCAGCATCAGCATCAGCATCAGCATCAGCAGCAGCATCGTAATCATCATCGGCAGCACATTCGTCACCACCATTATCGGCATCAGCATCATCATCATCATCATCAGCATCATCATCATCATCATCATCATCATCATCATCAACAGCATCAGCATCCTCAATAGCAGCATCATCATCAACAGCATCATCAACACCGAAATCAGTATCACATTCATCAGCATCATCAACCTCATCAGCCTCATCACCATCATCCTCAGCAGCTGCATGATCATCATCATCAGCAGCATCAGCATCCTCATCATCAGCATCATCAGTAGCGTCATCAGCATCGTCATCAGCATCCTTGTCCTCATCACAAGTTCATCCTCATCCTCATCATCATCAGCATCAGCACCAGCAGCAGCATCATCATCATCATCAGCAGCAGAAGCATCACTGTCGTCACCACCATCAGCATCGTCATCATCAGCAGCATCAGCATTATCATCATCAGCATCATCAGCATCATCATCAGTATCATCGCATTCACCATCACCATCATCATCATCATCAGCATCGTCATCGTGACCATCAGCATCATCATCATCATCATCATCATCATCATCATCATCATCATCATCATAATCAGCATCAAAATCATCATCATCATTATTATCATCACCAACCTCCTCCCTGGATGCCGCTGCCGACGGATCATGGCCTTCCCTGGCGCGTGAAGCAATCTGCACGGCTCCCAAAGCATGATGCGGCAGTTCGAGCAGCGAAGCACCGTCCTGGCCAGCGAGAAGACTTTCAGATGCATAGAACTTCCTGCGAGCTCCTGCTATCCCTGCTGAGGCCAATTCTTGAATTGCTGCATCACTGCTCCTCCTCCTCCTCCTCCTCCTCCTCCTCCTCCTCCTCCCCCTCCCCCTCCTCCTCCTCCTCCTCCTCCTCCTCCTCCTCCTGCGTCCCCTGACGGTATGAAGACGGGTGTTCTATCCCCACGCCGACGCCTGGAGACAGGTCGCTCGCCATGCTCGCGTAGGAGTAGAACCCGAGGTTGACGATCAGGCCACGCACCACCACGATGCAAAAGGCCGCCAAGAATGGCGAGCGTTTGAGCCGGAAGGGCGGGGCGGAGTAGGCGGTGCCCAGAACGAACGAAGAGACGAGAATACCCATCAAGGTCTCGCTGCCGGGTTGCCCCATGTGGCACCATGCTAGCCCGCCCGCAAGCGTTGCCGCGATGGCGACGACAGTCCAGGCAGCCGGCAGCGATAGCCGGCCGGAGGCGAGAGGCAGATGAGGCTTGTTCTGCTTGTCGATATCGATGTCGAAAATCTGGTTGAGGCCAGTTACGCTAGAAGAGGAAAAGGTTCAGAAACATAAACTTTCGGAACTCCGCGTGGATTTCTTGGATCGGCGCTGGAAACGGCTCCTGGGAGTACGGCTCAGATCCAAGAACTCCGCGCGGAACTCCGAAACTTTCTGGCTGTGCCGCTCTTCCGTCTTCGATATGTACACGTTCATCAGCATAGCGGGGAGGAGCGCCACCACGACCGCGGACGCCAACTGGGAACCGAGGACAGCTCGAGCTGCAGGGGTGGCCGCGTGAAGCACTGGAGCCGCTGCGAAGAGGTGCAGCGCAGGGATGGAGATGAGCGTCCCGACCAGAGTGTGCGGCCGCGTAAAATCCCACAAGGCCCTGGCAAGCATCGTTTGACCCATCCCCATCCCCACCGGCGTGGCCTTGGCCCCACTGGCCGACCAGCCCACCTAAGTGGGAGCATGTGCCTGTTCACTCGGGTTTCGCGGGGCCCATCCGCACCTAGAAGGGTGGGTTGGTGGGGCTGAGATGCCACGGACGAGTGGGGATGGGATAGTTCGGCGGCAACTCATGGGAGCCTCCCATGCCATCTTGCTGGCTCTTCTCATGGGAGCCTCCCATGCCATCTTGCTGGCTCTTGCGACTCGACGGGAATCGAGGCTAATCGACGCTAAATCGACAAAAATCGACGCTGATGGACGCTACATCGGCACTATGACATCGATTGCCAGAAGATTGCCAGAACCTAACAGACGCTAAGCGACCCTAAGACACTGATTAACGAGAGTGCAAAAGGCTTCCATTATGTTTGGCGGCGCGCAGAGGGAACACGGGGAGGGGCTTCTTAGAAGGAGGCTGCTTCTTAGAAGGCACCCGCCTTACATCTACACAGACGACCCGCGCCTTCTAAGGAGCAGGGGTGCTTGTGAGAAGCCATCCACCCCCCCTAAACTCACGCTGTTCCCATCCTACTTGAGTACCACACCCCAGAAATGTTTTCGAGCAGACAAGTATCGAAACAGTGTCGAACGAGTATCGCCTCCCAGGGCCCGACACGTAAGAACCCTCCAGTTTCTGCACTTTCTTGGTGCTCGACGTTCTTTCTGGCGATCAAGGCTAGAGCAGGTTGGAAACACATGACCCTAACCCCCCCCCCGCTGCGCGTGGACGAACCGAAGGATAGGTTAGACGATGCTGATCCTGAGCTGGCTGGCCCCCAGCGGCAGCACGAGGGCGCGGCGCCGCGACGCGCGGCAGCGACGCCCTGGGCTCCGCAGCACCGCTGCGGCAGCGCCAGCTCCGCAGAGCAGGCCGCGTCGGACGCGGACCGCCCCCGGCGCCCGCGAGGCCACAGATGCGGCCGGGAGTCGCACGCCGAGGCCGCCGGCGGCGTCGGCCGCTCCGGCGGGCAATGAAGGCTTCTGGCCTGTGAGAAGACCGAACTTGATGGTTCCGGTGCGGTAGCCGCGGTCCATCAGGGGCATGACCTGGGGCGACGAGCCCTACTCCGCGTTTCCTAAGGAGCGTCAGGAGGGCGTCACCCCCGCCGACAGGCCCACATCGACCCCCGCCGCAGGCAGCCACCGCGCGCCGAAGGCGCTCCGACCCCCGTCGCGGCGCGAGGACGAGGGGAGGTTGACCCCCGTCGGGGGGGTACCCCCACCGCGCTTGTTACGAAACCCAAAATGAACAGATCTATCCTGCACGGTTCCCCCCGGATCGTAGGCGACCCGAGGAGGAGGAGGAGGAGGAGGAGGAGGAGGAGGAGGAGGAGGAGGAGGCCCGGAGGAGGAGGAGGAGGAGGAGGAGGAGGAGGAGGAGGAGGAGGAGGAGGAGGAGGAGGAGGAGGAGGGAGAGGAGGAGAGGAGGAGGAGGAGGAGGAGGAGGAGGAGGAGGAGGAGGAGGAGAGGAGGGAGGAGGGAGGGAGGGAGGAGGGAGGAGGGAGGGAGAGGGAGGAGGGGGAGGGAGAGAGGAGGAGGGAGGAGGAGGAGAGGAGGAGGAGAGGAGGAGGGAGAGGAGGAGGAGGAGGAGGAGGAGAGAGGAGGGAGGGAGGGAGGAGGGAGGAGGGGGAGGACAGGTCGCCTAAGCCCTTATGAAAAACACTCCAATCTGTCGACCCTGGTCTGGCCATCCCCGGGCCCAGGAGCGGTGCGTGCGCCCTCCTGCCGTGCCCCCAGGGAGGCACATACCAACCGCTCCTGAGCCCAGGGGAGGCCTGGCCGGGGGCGGTGGCTGTGTACAGATTTGAGTCGGGCCTGCCCCTCTACAGGAGGAATCCTTTTCAAATCAAGAACTAGTCAGGGGATGATTTCTTGACTATTTTTTGTTTTGGGCTATCTTTCGTTTTTCGGACAAAATCCGCCTGCAGGGGGACACGCCCGACCTAAATATAGCTCTCGTCGCCCGGTGACCAACGCCCCCCGCAGCGTCTCGAGCCCACCGCGCGCCATCGCCCACCAGCCGCGCGGCTGCAGCGCCGTGAGGATGACGGCCATCCAGAAGGGCTTTATCTGCTCCGTCCAGTCCGTGGTCCGAACACCGACCATCCCCAGGCCGCCCTCGGCGATCTGGGCGTAGTCCGCGATGCTACACCACTCTGGCAGGTGATATGCCCTGTTGATTCTCGCCAGCAGCCGACGCTCCCTGGCAGACAGGACCTCGCCGTCCCCCAGTGTCCGGTGCACCCAGGTGACGAGGATCACGCGACCGCCGGGCTTGCAGACGCGCGCCATCTCCGCCATGAACTGCGGCTTGTCTGGCATGTGCTCGCCGCTCTCTAGGGACCACACGAGATCGAACGAGTTGTCGGGAAAGGGCATGTTCAGGGCGTCCGCCACATCGAACCTGCACGCCGAGCCCTGGCCCGCCTGCTCCGACATCAGCCGCGCCCTCCGGCACTGCTCGGGGCTCAGCGTGATGCCCTGGACGTAGCTGGCGCCGAACTTCCTCTGGAGGAACCTGGAGGCGCCGCCCACCCCACACCCGACGTCGAGCACGGACTCTGGGGCGTCCTGGGCGCCTGGCTTCGGCACGCCTGCCCAGACGAGCATCTCCTCCATCATGCGGACCTGGGCCGCCTTGTGCTCCTCGAGGGACCTCCAGGAGCCGTCGTCGTAGTACCCGTGGTGCATGTGCTCGCCCCAGATCTCCACCCAGACGCCCGAGGACGCGTCGTAGAAGTCCGCGATGCCCTGCTGCAGCGTCCTCTCTCTGCGGAGCCGCCGCCGCGCCGCCACAACCACGACCGCAGCGCAGGAGGAGAAGGCCAAGAGCCTAGAGGACAAAAATACACCACAGACCTAAACTTTCGCAGCTCCGCGTGGGGTGCTCGGCTTCGGCGCTGAACCCCCTCCCTGGCGCGCTCCGCGCGCCAGGGGCGGCGCCGGAGGCGCCGCCAAAGAGGCCCAGAGAAAAATATGCGCGGAACTCCCGAAGATTATGCCAATGCAGTTTCTTCAGCGGTTCGAAGCTGGGTCCCTGAGGGGTGGGGACATAAAAGAGGGCGCGTTTTGCGGTCGCTTGCTTGAAAAAAATCCCCTCCCCCGATTCGAACCCGGGGGAGAGGGGCGGAAAGGCGACGACGCCGAGCGACGAGGACGCGCCGACGGCGACCACGACGACGACGACGACGTCGACGACGACGACGAAGCGACGATGTCGACGCCGACGTCGACGCCGACGACGACGTCGACGCCGACGCCGACGATCACGATGATCACGACGACGACGATGCTGCCGACGCAGACAACGACGCCGAGCACGACGCCGACGCTGACGCCGACGCTGGCACCGACGCGAGCGACGACGACGACGAGGCTGACGACGACGACGACGACGACGACGACGACGACGACGACGACGACGAGCACGTCGACGACGACGACGATGACGGCGACGACCACGACGCCGACGCCGACGAAGAGCACGACGCCGAGGCCTACCACCACGCAGCCGACGACAACAACAACGACGACGACGACGACGACGACGACGACGACGACGACGACACCGACACCGACACCGACAACGACGCCGAGCACGACGCCGACGACGACGCCGACGCAGGCGACGACGACGACGACGACCACCACCACGACGACGAGCACGACGAGCACGACGCCGAGCACGACGCCGAGCACGACGCCGACGACGAGCACGACGCCGACAACGACGCCGAGCACGGCGCTGACGCCGACGTCGACGAAGACGACGACGCGGAGCGACGACGCCGTTCACGACGCCGACGCCGACGCCGACGCCGACTACGCCGAGCACGACCCCGACGCCGAAATCGACGACGCCGACGACGACGAAGACGACGACGTCGATGCCGACGCCGACGTCGCCGAAGACGCCGACGCCAACAACGATGCCGAGAACAAAGACGACGCCGACGCCGCCGACGCCGACGACGAGCACGACGCCCAGCACGACGCCGAGGACGACGCCAAGCACGACGACGACTCCGACGCCGTCCACGCCTAGCACGATGCCGAGAACGATGCCGAGCACGACGCAACGCCAACGCCGACACCGACGCCGACGTCAACGACGACGACGACGACGCCCAGCGCAGACACCGTCACCGACGCCGACGCCCGCGCCGACGCAACGACGACGTCGACGTCGACGCCGGCGTCGACGACGACGACGTCGACGCCGACGCCGACGCCGACGCCGACTCCGACGCCGACGCCGACTCCGACGCCGACGCTGACGCCGACGCCGACGCCGACGCTGACGCCGACGACGACGACGACGCGGGTTTCGAACCAAAGGGAGGGGGGACATTTCCTCCCCTCCCCCGCCCAATTCCGAACCGGGGGGGAGGGACCCTACGAGCGACAACAGAAAGTGCTCTCTCGGACCTGAGGACACGAAGGAATCTAGAGGTGGACTTCCATGGTTTGAGGCACCTCGTCCCTGGGACCCACTCCTCGAGTAGGGGGTCGACTACAGCATTGATCTACCCAAACTTGATCTTCTCGTCGAACCAATGGAAAACGTGTGGAATGTCTGCACAGCTACAGACAGTGTACGCATTCTGACGTGGATTATGAAGGACATGTACCCGTCGGTCGAAAGAAGTAGGTAAAAACATGAAGTAGGAAGGCGGATAAAGTAGATTGGGTTCAGGCCCTCCCAGATAATGATAAAGCACAGAAGAAGCAGATCGATTCTTGAGGTAGGAAGGCGCTTGAAAATACCTACTCTCAACGACTGGCGTGTACTTCTGGGACACAACAATTCATCATGTAGTCGATATCCCCACTCGAAGCCCTCAAGACCCCACCTCTGCACCACCGCCTCCCCTCCTCTTGCACAGGGACTGACCGTCCTGCCATTCCTGTAGGCCTACCACGACATGTTCTTAAACACAACAATCTTCCAAGAACAAAAACGATGCTTTTGGAGCATTAACCCGACGTGTTGAGACAAGACGGCCCCAGCCCGCAATGTTCTTGGAACAGTCCGCGGAAACCACAAAAGGCTCCTAGAACAGTGCTTGGTAGGCCTACAGGCACGCCAGGACGCCTCGCCACTGCTTGCTCCCCCGAGGAGCCAGGAGGCGCCCTGGCCGAGCGCCCCGAGGCCCACGCGGCTGGCGCCGCGCCCAGGCCCCCGCCTGGGGAGACTGACAACAAAAACGATACCGCTGTGCTCGGGACCTCTCCCCGGGGGTGCGCTCCGGCCAGGACTCCGAAGCGAATCCCGCGGTGGCGACAGGGGCCTCCCAGGAGGCCCGAAGAAAGGGGAAAACCAGAGGTCTCCCAGATGGGGTCGGAGTAGATGGGGTCGGAGGATCGCGCCGCATCGCCGATGCATCGGTGATGCAATGGCGATGCATCGGCGATGCACCGGCGATGCATCGTTGATGTCGGCGATGCATCGGCGACGTCCGCGCGAAGAAACTCGGGCTCCGCATCGAACCGCATCGGCGGTGCATCGGCGATGCGGCGCGATCCTCCGACACCCCATCTGCTCGGACCCCTACCTGGGGGGCCTGGACAAACGAGAGGAGGCTAGTGCGGAGGCATGGCTATACCTCTTCCTTCTCCGAGGGCCCCCGCCGGCGCGGCGGCCGCCGCCGCGCCCGCGCGGCGCGCTGCGCTGGCGGCCGCGCGGCGGGCGACCCCGCCCCCGCGGCAAAGGCGGCGCCGGCGACCGCGCCGGCGGGCCGGGCGCCGGCGCCTGCCGCCTGCGGCGCGCGGCGCCCCGAGTCGCAGAGGTAGCCCCCGGCGAACTCCTCACGGGCGGGGCGCACATCCGCACCCGCCGGTCGGGAGAAATCTGGGTGGCCTTAAGGGGGGTCCAGTGGAAAGGGGCTGGTGCAGCAGATTGGGGGCACTGGTTCTGCAGACGCATGGCGCCGAAGATGTGTATTGCATCGTATTGCACGTGATGTGTTGCACGCGAACACAAAGCAATACATTTGACCCGTGGAATGTATATCACGCTCTAAATGTACTGCAACCGCACAAACCTATTGCACCAAATCTATTGCACAACCCTCTTGTCGTTGGACCCCTTTTGGGTCAACCCGAAAGAAGCGGGTAGCATTGTGGATGCCATGACAATGGACACCCTAACAACCCGATCATTAAAGTACAATGTGCTTACAGTGGTTAAGACATGTTTCAAACATGTCTAGACATCTCGACACTATTTGGCAACACGCTTCCTCTCCACTGATTGTCGTCCACCAGGGTAGCAAAGATCGACCCAAACCGTGCTTTTTGTGTTTGTTGTGTTTTCGTTGTCCCTCGTGTTGTCTTCCGTCCGCCTTGGCTGCACAACGAAACATCGGAACGAAAGCGGCCCACTGAATCGCCCAAAAACACCGTTTGGGTCGACCCCCCGGTAGAAAGCATGAAGTAGGAAGGCGTTGGAAGTAGATTGCACGGCTCCCGCTCGCCCTGTGAAGCAGGACGGATGGGGGATCACCACTCGACCCTTGAAGTCGGAGGGCGCCCAAAATAGATTGGGATCTGGGCATACAGAAATACCGACTTTCAACGACCGGCGCATACCCGCGCCCGGGGGCTGCTCAGTGTGGGTGGGGAACGAGAAGTCGGGGTGAAGAAGCGCTGCACCTTGCGTGTCCCTTGAGGGCACAGAAGGTGCATCTCTTTTCCCCCCCCTCCTCCTCCTCCTCCTCCTCCTCCTCCTCCTCCTCCTCCTCCTCCTCCTCCTCCTCCTCCTCCTCCTCCTCCTCCTCCTCCTCCTCCTCCTCCTCCTCCTCCTCCTCCTCCTCCTCCTCTCCTCCTCCTCCTCCCCTCCTCCTCCTCCTCCTCCTCCTCCTCCCTCCTCCTCCTCCTCCTCCTCCTCCTCCTCCTCCTCCTCCTCCTCTCCTCCTCCCCTCCTCCTCCTCCTCCTCCTCCTCCTCCTCCTCCTCCTCCTCCTCCTCCTCTCCTCCTCTCTCCTCTCTCTCCTCTCCTCTCCTCCTCCTCCTTCTCCTCCTCCTCCTCCTCCTCCTCCTCCTCCTCCTCCCCCAACCTACCGCCCCTCCCCCCTTTATACCACGCCCGACGCGCCCTCGAAGTCTGGATTCCGCGGCGCGATCCCGCGGATATACCGTCGTGGGCATAGATCCTGCGCGGGGCATCCACGAGAAAGGCGCTCCGTCTCCGTGGGGTCGCGGCCGAGGAGCCCGGCCCGAGAGGCGGCGGATACGGATATGCTTTTCGCCCACGAGCTCCAGCGCCGCCTGCGTGAATTGGACCTGCAATGCAGGCTCTGCTGCCTCGGGGGGAACCAACGGATACCCATACCGCTACGTACCCCAGGGACCTCTTCCTGGGGGGCCTTTCTCACTCGGAGTCCGAGGCGAGCCCGCCCGATGCGACGAGGGAAAAAAAACGGTATCGGTACCTGTCTCTTCCTCCTCGGAACCTCGCCGGCGTACGCCCGGAAAGTCGCGGTCGCCGTGTGGCTCTCGACCGCGCCCGGGCGGTTGCTGAAGCCGGTCTCCGTGGGCGTGTAGATCCTGTCGGAGAAGCTGCCGGCGGGCGCGGAGATGGCCACCTCGAGACGGCGCCGCCCGCCGCGGGACCGCGCGGACAGCTGGAGGGTCCCGCCGCACCCGTCTGCCGAGGCAGTGATGCTGCGGGCAGGATGTATATGCATACTCTGGGTTTCTTAATAAGCGTGGTGGGGTACCCTCCCGTCGGGGTTCAACCTCGCCTCGTCGTCGCGCCGCGACGGGGGTCGGAGGGCCTTCGGCGCACGGTGGCTGCCCGCGACAGAGGTCGATGTGGGGCTGTCGGCGGGGGTGACGCCGCCCCGACGCTTATTAAGAAACTCGGAGTACCTGGGTTCTGGGGGAGGGGGTGCCACAAAACAGAGGCGCAGTGGGTTCTGGGTGGAAGGGGTGCCACAAAACAAGACGAGTTGGCCTCGCAAGAGGCCAACTCGTCCTCAGAACCCGCCGCGTCTCGAGTTTCACAAGGAAGAGTCTGAAAATGCGAGACGCAGTGAATGTGGACATAAATCTCGCCCGCAGATGCGGTCCAGGTCGGTGGTGCGGAAATTCCACTGGGCTCCAGGGGAGCGGAAGGCCACGACGTACTGCTCCCTGGTGACGCCTGCGACGGTGAACTGGCCGCCGGTGAGCACAAACTGGCCGCGGCCGCAGTCGGACACGCCCTGCGCCCAGAGGTACGAGGCGGGAAAGCGCCTGCCCCAGTTCGCCTCCTGGTGGGCGACCCCCAACCCGCGCCGCCCGCCGACCGCGTAGCTGGCCGGAGAGCCCAGGGACTGGACGAAGTAGTGGCAGGTGGCGGCGCGCACAAGGTGGCAGGGGGGGGGAGGGCCTCTTGGAAGCACCCCTGCTCCTTAGAGGGCGCGGGCCTCCTGTGCAGACGTGATTGGGGCCAGCGCCTTCTGAGCAGGGGTGGTTCTGAGAAGCCCTCCCCCCCTTAGTGGGCCCCGGAAACGGCAGGCCCGTTTTTTCACTGGTTCCGAATGAAAGGTCTCTTGAAAATGAAAACGGCAACAAAAAACGACGACCAAACGGCAAACAAAACGGCTCCAAGATTGGAACCTGAGACGGAACCGCTAGTAAAAAAACAGCATCGGAACCGGCAAAAAAACGGCAAAACGGACGGAGCTGGTCAAAAAACGGCCCTGCCGTTTCCAGCTCCCCCTGCTCCCCTCTGCGCGTGGCCGTTGCAGGGCAGCACAGGCGACGGCAGCCACCCCAGCCAGCCCTCGGGGCCAGCCGGGCCCTCGGGCAGGCGGGTGTCCCAGGGGACGCGGCCGGCGAGGCTGCCAGCCACGTGCAGGCCTGAGGGGCAACGATGGGGTTAAGTCGGGCGTGTCCCTCTACAGGAGGAAGATTCAGAAATAGTTTCAAAAAAACGATGGACGATTCTTGCACTTTTATGTGCTATTTTTCATTATTTCCCAATCATCCTGTGGTGTTGGGTCCTCGTGTTTACGAGACAGCGCCCTGCGTTCCTCCTCCTCCTCCTCCTCCTCCTCCTCCTCGTCCTCCTCTTCCCGCTGCCCCCTCCCTCCTCCTCCTCCTCCTCCTCCTCCTCCTCCTCCTCCTCCTCCTCCTCCTCCTCATCATCATCATCATCATCATCATCATCATCATCAGCAGCAGCAGCAGCAGCACAGCATCATCATCATCATCATCATCATCATCATCATCATCATCATCATCTCATCCTCATCCTCAGCATCATCATCATCATCATCATCATCTCATCATCATCATCATCATCATCATCGTCATCGACATCATCATCATCATCATCATCATCATCAGCATCAGCATCATCATCATCATCAGCATCAGCATCATCATCATCATCATCAGCATCAGCATCATCATCATCAGCATCATCATCATCAGCATCAGCATCATCATCATCAGCATCAGCATCATCATCATCATCATCATCATCAGCATCAGCATCATCATCATCAGCAGCAGCATCATCATCATCATCATCATCATCATTATCATCATCCTCGTCATCCTCGTCATCAGCATCATCATCATCATCATCATCACCATCATCACCCATCATCATCATGATTACCCATCATAATGATCATCATCGTCATCAGCATCATTATCGTCATCACCATCATCATCATAGTCATCGTCAACTTCATCATCATCATCATCATCATCATCATCATCATCATCATCAGCATTATCAACAGCATCAGCATCATCAGCCTCAGCAGCAGCATCATACGCATCAGCATCATCATCATCAGCATCATCATCACCATCACTATATCACTATCGTCATCATCATCATCATCATCATCATCATCATCATCAGCATCATCAACATCGTCATCATCAGATTCATCATCATCATCATCATCATCATCATCATCATCATCATCGTCATCGTCATCGTCATCAGCATCATCATCATCATTAGCATCAGCATCAGCATCATCATCAGCAGCATCATCATCAGCATCATCATCATAATCAGCATCATCATCATGATTATCAGCATCGTCGTCGTCGTCATCGTCCGCATCATCATCATCATCGTCATCATCAGCATCATCATCATCAGTATCATCATCAGCATCAGCATCAGCAGCAACAGCAGCATCATCAGCATCATCAGCAGAATCAGCGTCATC